CTGTTTGTTCTGTCTACAAACTTTTCTCCAGAAAACAAGCTTTTGTTTGTCATCATCATGATTTTAATAGTTTTTCAATTAAAATGAAAGTTTGATGCAAAAAATGTCTGATCACTATCAATAGCTCTGTCAATTAACTCTAAAATACAGTGAAGCCCGTTAATGTGCCAGGAGAAGAAAGATCAAACAAACATTTATATAATCAGATATTAACGTAAAATCCCTCTTTCCCTGTCTTTTTCCAGCGCAGTCATGGACGAGGTGGGACGAGGGCCAACAACGTCTCACAACACAAAACCAGCGGAGGCCACTCCCCTGGAGCCGCCCGAGGAGGAGGCAAGGAGGAAGGAGGAGGAGGAAGGAGAGCCACCAGCCAGAGGAGAAGGAAGAAGAAGAGGTCCACCCAGGGCGGCTCTGTGGATCCCTCGGGCCCAGAGAGGACCCCTGAGGAGGACTCAGCCGGGATCCGGTGAACAAACCCAACCGTAAGAAGAAGATACGGGACGAGGACTGAACGGGTTCCTGAGTACCTGCAGCAGAGCGTCCGGCGTCTCCCCGGGGGGACAGAAGAGGGAGGGAGGAGACAGGGCTGAGGGAGGAGGTGGAACAGCCCTGAAAAAGACAGGACGGAGGGAGGGACAAGACGGTTAAAGAGGCAGACGACAAGAAAAAAAAACATGTGAGAGATTTCACATTAAAGACAGAACCAGAACCAGAACCCAGGATGTGTCCTAACTTCCTGTCTTCCTGTCTCCCTCATGTCCTCCTCTCTCTCACGTTCCTCTATCCTCCTCTTCACGTCTCTCTCCTCTCTCCCTCATGTCTCTCTCCTCATCGTCCTCCCTCGTCTCCTTCCCTCCCACGCCTGTGATTTTACGCAGAAACCGGCTACCGGTCTGCCGACTGTCCAGGCCGACCGGGACGAGGAGATGGCCGGGGATCGATACCGCTGCGGCTCCACCGACACACTGAGATCCAAAGAGGCCGAGCTAAAGTGACCCGGCCTCTGGGTGCAGACGCGGTGGCTCCACAGCTGGAACAATCTGACCCAGATTACGCGATGATCGCTTTACACTGGGGTGCTCTCCAGGTGATCACCCTTACCAATCTTCATCTGCGTCAGAACCGACACCTGTCGAGTCCTGCCCGAAACCCGCAAAGACTGTACCCAAGTACACACACCACACACACAACACACACACAGACACAGATACACACACACACACCACACACACACGACACACAGCACACATAACACATATATACATACACACACACACACACACACCACAGATATACAACCACACACACAACACACACGATATACACACACACACACACAGACACAACAGAATACACACACACACACACAGACACACACAGATATACACACAACACCACACACACAATATACAACACACACACATCAGAAACACCACAGATATACACACACACACATCCAGACACACAATATACAACACACACACACACAGACACACCACAGATTACACACATACACACACCAGACACACAAGATAATACACATAAACATATACACACACACACACACACAATAATACACACACACCACACACAGATATACACACACACACACACACACAGATACACACACTACCACACACAACAAATATACACAC